AATTATTTTGGAAACAAAAGCCAAGCAGCACGTTGAGTAAAATTATTTTTAAATACCTGTAAACTTCCTTTAAAATACCTGAGAAATTCCTTCCTTTCTCGTGCTTTCCAGTGCCCTGCACTCCTTTGGCTTCTTCATCCTCAGCTGTGAGCACCTCTACGTCTGGGTCCATCCATTCTCTGCTGCCTCCAGGATTTTAGGGATGCAGGAACAGCCTCCTGCCTGCCAGCCATTCCTGGGAGCAGGAATTCTGCAGTGGAGCCCTTCTGAGCTTTGCTGGCTGCATTGCTGTAAATCTCCTTGTTTAATTGTTCCCTGGAACAGGCCCAGCTTTTCCTGCTCTCCCTGCACACAGCCCCAGCCTTGTGCTGCACCAGAACCCCAAGTGGAGAGCTGGGGAGGGGAGAATTCCCTTTATTCCCTGGGAATCCCATGAGTCCCAGTCCCAGCACGGATCCCTCTGCTCCCACAGTGTGCTGGGGTTTGGGCTTTTCTTTTCCCTCCGTGCTGCCAGTCACTAAACCCATTCCAATAAAAGCTGCTGGGGCTGTGGTTTGTATCTGGAATTGCTGTTGGCAGCATTAGGAGCGGGAGGAATTGCTTCCCTAAAGGTCTCTGAGGTTCTTTACCCACAGCTTGGCTGGATGAACCCTGGGGAGGTGCCCATGATCCATGATCCTGAGAATCTCTCCCACTTTGGAAGCCAGCACGTGGCCTTTGGATTCTCTCCTGCCTGTGAGGACCCAGTTTCTGCGATAATATTTGTAAAAAATAGGGATTTCTTAGGACCAAGACATGGAGGGGATGGAGAGTGTCCAGGGAAGGAAAGGGGCTGGAGAATCCCTGAGGAGCTGGGAAGGGGCTGGAGATTGGGCTTGGTGACCTTGGAGGGCTCTGTCACCCCTGGCCTGTCTCCTGCCAGGAGTATGATCCAGGTGTTTTTCCCTCTCCTCCTTCTCTGAGTTTTCCCTTCCCCAGCCACAACACTCGTGTCTCCTCTGCCTTTAAATCTTCCCAGAGAGACATTCCAGGGTGGGAAATGGGCCCAGGAGTGCTGATCTCTCCCTGGATTTTGGTGTTCAGTGTGCCCTGTTGTGGATCTGGAATGCTGCCTGTCACTGTCATTTTCTGAAAAATCCCTTTGCCCAGGATTTCTCTCGTGGGAAGCCGAGAGGCCTCAGAGAAAAAGAAAAACAATATTATCTCATTTGCTTCTCCTGTGTTGTGCTGCTGTGGAATGTGTGTGGAGATTGTTTACCCACAGGTGATTGTTTCATTGGTTTGTGTGAATTGTTTTCACTCTTTGGCCAACCAGGGCCAAGCTGTGTCAGACTCTGGAGAGAGCCACGAGTTTTCCTTGTTATCTGTTAGCCTTCTGTCTGTATTCTTTCTGTATTCTTTAGTGTAGTTTTAGTATAATGTTCTTTAATATAATTTAGTGTCATAAAATCATAAATTAGCCTTCTGAGAGCATGGAGTCAGATTCCTCATTGCTTCCTTGGCCTGGGAACCCCGCAGATACAGGAGGCTGCCCTTGCAGGTCCCTGTGCTGATCACCACTGTTAGCACTGCCAGTGGCCCCTGGAGAATCCCAACAACCAAAGTGGGCAATTACTGCATTTTAAACTTAATTAAAAAAGGATCCACACAGGGAGAGAAGTTATGAATGTGATCAAAGGATTCATTTCAGGAAAAGCTCCTGGCACTGTGCTCTGAGGAGGGATTGATGCCTCCAACAGGAGCCAGAGCTGAATTGTTGGGAAGTCAGGGGTAATTCCATGACCTGGAATTCAGGAGGAAAGGCTGGGAGAGCTGGGAATGTTCCCCTGGAGAGAAGGATCCAGGGAGAGCTCAGAGCCCTTTCCAGGACCATGAGAGCTGGAGAGGGACTGGGGACAAGGCATGGAGGGACAGGACCCAGGGAATGGCTTCAAATTAAAAGAAAGGAGGTTTAAATTGGATATTGGGAAGGATTCCTGGCTGGGAGGGAGGTGAGGCCCGGGCACAGGCTCCCAGAGGAGCTGGATCCCTGTGGATGCCATCTGAGGGGTCAGCACAAAGTGGCTGTGGCACTGACAAAACCCATTTCAGGCTTTCACAATTATTTTCTTTAGAAGAAATTCTGCTCTCAGGATTTATCCCGTGTCACATGGAGCCACCTAATGCCACGAGATTGAGTTTAATTATCACCCTGCTAAATTGCAGCAAAGTTGAGGAGTGTCTGCTCCCATCTCCTCTCAGCACCGGCTCTGCCACGGATTCGTGTGAGAGCAGGAATGAAAAGCTGGGAATTGCTGCTTTTATGTGCACGTAGCTTAAGTGAACCCAAAATTAAAATGATGAGCATATCATGGCTTCCAATTAATGGCCTTAGCAGCTGAAATGACACTTTTGTAAGTGAGTTAAATATCATCTGGGTTCCTTTTGCCTCTGCCCTCGGCAGCCTGGTATTTTCCACGGTCTCACAGACAGTGATTCCTGCAGTATTTAATGGAGCTGGAAGCAAAAGCACAATAAAATTCGAGACAGGAGCGAGCTGAGAAGTGAGGAGGGGGATAATGGGTGGTTAATGCTGTTAAATACCTCGTGCTCAACGCTGGTGCTTTTGCCAAGGAAAAGTTTTAAGTGGTTGCAGGTCCTGACTGCTGGAAGCTCTCCCTGCAAATGATCCCCCTGCTGTGCTGGTGTGGAAATCTGGGAGCAGCTGGGGTGGGGGTCCCTTCCCAGCTGCTTTTTTTGATTTAAATGGGCCTGTGTGTTCCCAGGCTGCTCTGTTCTGCTGGGGCTGCCTTGGGAAGGGGAAAAAGGAGGAGAGTGCTGGAGCCTGGCTGTCCCAGGCTGCTGGGAGGGACAGCCTCACATCTGGCTGCAGCTGGCCTGGGGAGCCTGGACCAGGGGCAGCCCATCCCCAGCATTATCTTCCTTTGCTATGAGATCCCAAACTGGTGTGGCTTGGAAAGGACCTTGAATCCCACCTCGTTCCAGCCTCCTGCCATGGGTGGGGATTCTCCAATTCTCAAGGTTATCAGGAAACACACTGGGCCCAAATTGCCCAAATCCAGCATTTCTCCAATTCTCAACATTTCCCCATCCCTGCCATGCCCAGGGTGCCCTGTCCCAGGTGTCCCAGCTGGGAGTGGCACAAGGACTTTGCCAGCCCAGGGACGTTCTCCAGGTCAGGAGCTTTGCCCAGAGCTGGAAGCTGGGGTTGATCACCACTTCAGGGAGCCGGGGAGTGACTGACCATGGAACACACCCAACCTTGGTGCCCAGAGCTTTCCTGGCTCTCCTGCCCACAGCAGAGGCAGGAGCTGAGGCCAGGAGGGCTCCAGGAGCAGCCCCTGACAGGGATCCCGGCCCTGGGATAAGGAAACTGGGATCCTGCCCAGGGTGGGAAGCATCTGGTTGTGTCTCTGGCCTCTTCTGGGGCTGCCAAGGGATTTCCAAGGCATGGAGGGACAGGACACAGGGAATGGCTCCCACTGCCAGAGGGCAGGGAGGTACGGGAGATTGGGAACTGGGAATTGCTGGCTGGGCTGGAATTGCCAGAGCAGCTGTGGCTGCCCCTGGATCCCTGGCAGTGCCCAAGGCCAGGCTGGACACTGGGACACCCTGGGACACTGGGAGGTGTCCCTGCCATGGCAGGGTGCCACTGGGTGGGCTCTGAGGTCCCTTCCACCCAAACCATTCCAGGATTCTGGGATTAAACCCACTGCAATTCCCAAGGGTGCAAATGTGGGAAGCTGGGATCCAGCCGAGCTCCTGGAGCAGTTTGAGCTGGGCTGAGCAGCTGAAGCTTTGCTGAGCTGGCTCTCACAGATCCTGGCTTGTGCAGAATTGCTCCAAAGCTGACTGACAAACACTTAAAAATATTTTGGAATCTTTCAGCCATTGCCATCAGCTCCACCTTGTGAAAAATGTAAAGAAATCTGCCAAACCCTCCCTCGGTTGGGTCAGGTGCTTGGAAGGTAAAGTTAAATAAAAAGGGAGAGCAAGGGGCCTCATTTGCAGCTCGTTTGCAAGGAGCAGCAGCTAATTAAGCACTTTAAGGGGTGGGACACTGAGGTGTGAAGTTTATTGAGCGCTTGGTTAACTATTCAATTAGTCTGGGTGTTTTGCGAGCTGGCATAATTCTAATTCATGGCAGGATCAATGGCTTGATTTAGAAGAAAATATAACATAAAACTCTAATTCCGAGAGCAGTGGAAGGTAAGTAATTACCACAAATTGATTTTGTTACCATAATCATTACCAATATTCTTCTAATCAGGTAAATACTGCTGGAGAGCTCTGAGGAGACTTCAGGATTTGCCATTAAAATCAGCTTTGCTTCCTCAGATTATTATTTCAAGTGGTAATTGATAAGGTTAGTTAAAATTGGCTGAAATATCAAAGGGTGATTCCTTCAGGAACACCAGCCTGGTGTTCCATGAGCAGTTCCACTATCCCAGGGTGCTCCAGCCTGGCCTTGGACACTTCCAGGGATCAGCAGCTGCTCAGGGCATGGATGAGGAAAAATGTACCTGGGATAAGAGTGGGAAACTCCTTCCTGGGGGTCAGGAATCATCCCCAGGTGCTGGGAGAGCTCATCCGTGTGTTTCCAGCAGGGGAAACTGAGGCACGAGGGATGCCAAGGCCTTGGAACAGGGCTCTGGCCGGGCTGGGATCCAGTGCCTGCTTCCTTTTCCCAGCTGCTCTTCCCTGGCTGTGCCAGATCCCTGTCACCTCCCTGCCTGGAGAGGGATCTGGGGAGGAGCTGCCAGAGCTGAGGGGTTTCTTTAAGGAAAAAGCCTGAAGGATTTTGCTGGGTTTTTTTTTTTTTGGTTTTTTTGTTTGTTTGTTTGTTTGTTTGTTAATTTTGTGTTTAGTGTTTTTTTGGTTTTTTTTTTTTTTTTTTTTAATTTTTTTTGGTTTTTTTTTTTTTTTTTTTTAATTTTTTTTGGTTTTTTTTTTTTTTTTTTTTTATTTTTTGTTTTGGTTTTTTTTTTTTTTTCCTCCAGGAGAAGATTGAAACAAAGGGCAGGAGAGATTTGGGAAATAATCCCCTTCTCCACAGAAGCTGTCCTGATGCTTCCCGTGCCATAACAAATCACAAACCCTGTCACTCGTGTACAACGCCCTGCCAGGATGGGATTCACCCCTCTGGCTGAGCTGGGACGGAGGGATGAGCCCGATGGACACCCCGGAGCTGTCAGTGCTGCTATGTTTGCCCAATTATCCAATCACAAATAAAAGGCCAAACAAAATTAAATGTAACAAAAAATTAATGAAATTTAAATGAAATAGTTTAAAATATATAAAATTGAATACATTTGCCTCCCTCAGGCAGGGATGTCCCTGGAGCCACCAGCCCTGCCCGGAGCTGCAGGTGGAGCTCGGGGCGTTCCCAGCTCCTGGGAGGCACAAAAAGCTTGGTTCTGGCACAGGGAGCAGAGGAGTAAATGTGGATGCAGGAGGAGAGCAGGAGATGGGAGATCAGGGAAAGGCTCTTCCCCAGAGGGTGGAATCAGCCCTGGAACAGCTCCCCAGGGAATGGGCACGGCCTGAGGCTGCCAGAGCCCCAGGAGATGCCCAGGGTGGGATTGTTGGGGGTCTGGGCAGGGATGGGGCTGCACTGGGTGATCCCTGTGGGTCCCAGCTCAGGATATTCCTGATTCTGTGATTGCCTCGCTCAGGGGAGGAAATCCGGGTGGATTTCCAAAGCATCCATTGCAGTTGGTGTCTGGGGTTGTGAAACGGTTCCATCAGCTCTGAGCTGTCCTTGTTCTGTTCCTGTGGAGTTCATCCTTCCCTGGCAGGGTGGGCAGCCCTGGCACAGGTGCCCAGAGCAGCTGGGGCTGCCCCTGGATCCCTGGCAGTGCCCAAGGCCAGGCTGGACACTGGGACACCCTGGGACAGTGGGAGGTGTCCCTGCCATGGCAGGGGTGGGATGGGATGGGATTTAAGGTCCTTCCAACCCAAACCATTCCAGGATTCTGATATTTTTGGATACAGCTTTAGCTCTCTCAGGTTTTTAAGGATGTGTGGCCATCAGGTTCCTTTGGCTGATGAGATGAGGAGCAGCTGGACACCAAAGAGCAAATCCATGTCTCTCTCTGCTGCTGGAAGGAAATGCTTTAAAGGGAGGGCAGTAACCTGTGTGGGGGAAATCAGCCTCCTCTGATCCTGAAAATGCCTCTCTTGTGTTCCTTTGAGCTCCACAAAACCAGTGGAACTGTCACTGCTGCACTTACTACTCTGTTTTTTGGTTTTTTTTTCTGATCTGTGACATGAATTAATGCTGACACATGAGGCTTTGGAATTTTGCTTTTCCAGTCACAGCACATGCAAACAGTGAGTTGTGGCTTCTGCCTGTGATTTCAACGACTGATTAAAAAAATCCCTTGCAAAGGATTGCCTGGGAAGATGGAGTCCTGACTTCAGAGACATCAAATAGGAAACATTGTTCTCTTTAGTGGAGGAACACTTTATTCTGACCTTTGTGGCTTTGTCACTGGTTTAGGGCTTTTTAATTGAAAAATAAATATATTCTGTCTCTGCACTCAGAACGTTTCCCTCGCTTTCCTGGGAAGTTTTCCTTCTTCACACATCTTTCTGAGGAACCTGACAGCTGAAGATTTTTTGGAAGCAAATCCAAACCCTTGTGCTCTCTTGCTTATTGCTCTCTTGGCAATAACCTCCTGAAGTGCTGGGAACAGTAGGAGGTGGAATTAATAATTCCCTTCCATCCTGCCCTTCCGAGGGGAGGCGAGGGAGCTGGAGCCACATTGTTTTAGTCCTTGCATTCAGAGGTTCACCATCAAAGCAGAACCTGAGAACTTTCCCCACATGGTTCAGCTTTAATTGGTTTCTGGTCTGCCATGAGGAGTGGAGGGAGCAGATGAAGTCCTGGGAAATGGCTGGCAATAAATCCTGCTCCTCGCAGGGCTGGAGAGCAGGGCTGATGTGTTCCTCTCCTGTGAGCGCTGTGTTCCTTCCCTCCCAAGGATGGGGATGCAATTTCCAGCTGCCTTGGCTTGCCCAGGAGCCCCTCAGCCCATCTGGGTGGTGACTTCTTGTTTTTGGGAGTTTGATTAATCTGGGTCAAGGCGAAGCTCCTGGAATTGGGATTCCAGTGTCTCTGTGCTGTTCAGCAGCAGCACTGAGGAGGTGAAGGTGTTGGAGGAGCTCAGGGCAGTGTTGCAGCTTCTCCTGAGATGCTTCCTCCCCAAAAAAGGGTCTGATTCCATGTTTCTTCCAGAAGTGAGTCCAGGAGCCCTTCATCCCAGAGAATCAAGGTTGGAAGAGACCTCCAAGATAATTTGGTCCAACCACTAAACCAGCTTTGGAAAACAACAAATGAAAAGCCAGGAGCATGCAGAGGGCAGACACAGCGCTCCTCTCTGGGATTCCCGGTGGGAATACCCCACGTTTGGCTGGGTTTTATTTAAATGAGGAATTTCATTCCCACATTTCCATTTCCCAGCCATGGGGGTGGCTGGAAACACTGAGGGATTGTGTTTGATCTGCTGTCAGTGTGCAGGTGCAGCAGGCAGGGCTCCTTCCATGGAGCTGAAACAGCAAATTCCCTTTTTGAAGAGAGCAGCCACCTCTAGAAAAACTGTGCACATTCTGCTCAGAAAATATTTATAAGGATTTACAATATTTTCTGTCAGGAAATACATATTTTAGGGATCATTAGGAAGTTAAAATCCAGGTGTTGCTGCTGTCGTGGTTAAGTGAAGGGCACTGGAGAGCTTCTGGAAGAACTTTTGGGAATCCAGCATTCATCTGTAGTCTGCTGTTGGCTACCTGGAAATATGGAAGTGGGATAGAATCCCCTCTGGCAAAGCATGGCTTGGCTGGGTCTGCTTTCAGAGGGAGTGAGCTGTTATCCAAAGCTTTATCCAGGAGGATTTTGGTGAGATCAGGAGCCATCCATCATGGAGAGGTGGGAGATGAGCCCTGGATATACAGTCAGGATCTGCACTGAGCACAATTCCTGCCAGAGCTGTGCAGTGGATCCAAAGACCTCGTTTTTCAGGAATAGGGTCAGGAACTGGGAAAAGCATCATCCAAAGCTGCCTTGCTCAGGAGTCAGGAGGTGCTGAGGGCTCCTGTGCACAGCAGCTCCATCAGATCCATGGATGGCTCTCCCTGGTTTCTCTTTCCCACTTTTCTATTGTCTACAAGCTCCTGAAGTTTCCTCTTGTGTTAATTTTCTGCACATCTCCACTGCCATGAAAGAAACGAGGCAGATTTGGGAATCATTGCTTCAGCTGCTGTGATTTTTAGTTCAGTTTTGTCCACGGAACAAATCTTCATTATACCAGGACGATGGAAATGCTCTGCAAATCCTGGTGCTGCAGGGGTTATTCCTGGGAATAATGCACAGCCCTGTCTCCTGGGAGGATGTTGAGATCCCCAAGAGTGGCTAAAAGCTCACCTTTCCCACTGAAACCTGCAGACTTATGATTTTTGGAAGCCTTTCAGGACGTGTGCCTGACTCTGGAGCACCAGGAAAGTGCTGCTTCCCAGGAAGTGGCTCCTGGCTTCCCTGGTGTGCTGCCCTGTGCCTGTGCGAGGGAAAATCACCCAGGTGTGCTGGGAAATCCATGGGACAGATCTCTGTTCCCAGAATGAAACACTGAAGTGCCCAAGACCAGGTTGGATGGAGCTGGGAGCAGCCTGGGGCAGTGGGAGGTGTCCCTGCCATGGCAGGGCTGGCACTGGGGGGGATTGAAGGTCCCTCCCAACCCTGCTGGAATCCGAAATGCAGGGAATTCTCAGAGCTTTGGGCCCGTCTCAAAACTCCTCCAAAAACCCCCCGCACCCCAAACCATTCCAGGATTCCCTAGGAGCCGACTCTTGGGGAATCATGGAATCCTCCCACATTCCCAGCGTGGTTTGGGGTGGAAGGGGCTTTAAATCCCATCCATTTCCAAGCCTTTGCCATGGCCAGGGCCACCTCCCTCCAGCCCGGAGCTCCTCAGGCATTCCCAATCCCTGTCTGTCACTGAAGCTGGGATCCCCCAGGCTGTGGGGAAAGCGTTGCCTGCCTCCCCTGCAGCTTCCACAGAGCAACTCTTTTGTTATTCATGAAACGTTTAAATAAATAATGCACTGCTGAGCTGCTCCACAGCCTTTTCCTCCCGTTAATTTGGCTACGAAAAGTTGGAAAATTAAAAAGTTTTGCACCCTCACTGGATATTTAATCCTCTTCCCAAGCCTGTGTACAGGTTTCATACCTCAAGGCTCTGGTGCATAATTACCATGCCCTGCTCCCATCCCGGGCTTTTGTTGGAGAAGGTTCTGGATTTTATCGGAAAACACCTTCTCTAATTTTAGTATGCAAAATTCTAATTACAGTATGAATTTTTTATTTCTTAATTCTTTACAGTTTTTGTTCCCCCTCTGGGTACCGAAACATAATTAATTCTCCTTTACTTTTTTTTTTTTCCTAATAGATTTATGTGTATTATCATATATATTAAATTTTCAGTCCTGTAACTTCTTTTTTTTTTTTTCCCTTCATTTTTATTGCTTCCCACACTGACAATGTTCACTTCATTAAAAACTTGTAATCCCTAAGCTGTGATCAAGACATAATTGCACTTTTTTGGGGTATTATAGTAACAGAGATGTTTTTCTTCTTTTATTACTGAAACCCCTCTTATGCTTCCATGACTCTGAGTAACCTCCCCAACATGCAGGGGGATTCCAGGCTGGAACTCTGACACCAGGGCTCAGTTTCCATGGACTGAAATGGTTGTACTCCCAGAAAACAATAAAATTCTGCTTTTTGCCCCCTCAGTTCCCTTCCAGCATTCAGAGAATGGTTTGGGTTGGGTGGGATTTTAGGGATTATCCACAGGCAGGGACACCATTCCAGGCTGCTCCAGCTCCAGCCTGGCCCTGGGCACTGCCAGGGATCCAGGGGCAGCCACAGCTGCAAAGGACAAATCGTGGATGTGGGGATGAGTTTGTTTTAATTTCACATAAATAGATTTAATTGTTGCCTTTGGAGCATCCAGAGTGAGGAGGGAGTTTATGTGAATTTTGATACATAACTCAGAAATCCTACACTAATCCTACAGAGCTGTCAGCCCCAGTTTAATAACTCGTGGTAGAATTGAAGAAACGTGGAAAATGAGTATGCAGGTAAATGAATTCCAGTTTTTGATGTATAAAACCAACTTCATCA